CATGTCATTAGCACCTCTAGTAATATATTTACTGAGAAAAATGGTGACGTGTTCAATACTTATTTTACCCGCTGTATATAAAACTGGAAACGTCCAAAAAATCTACCACAGAAATCCGTTTTATTAGGGATTAAGAGTGAAAAAAAAACTGGCCTGCTGCTCTTAGATAAGGACTATTTATCACTTCACACCATTAAGCTGAAGATATAAATAAAGTTCAAACATGGTGCAAGACCCGATCGGGCAACCTTTCATCCCCCGCAAGGATCCTGGCAACAAGTAAGCAAACATCAAGAAAATCYATCCAAAATGATCAAAAGAAGTTTCCATAAAAATCCACAAAAGAGCCCGCCTCTCACTATGACCCTTCGATTACCTCTGTTTAGCACAAGGGGTCAGGAGGATCTACCAATGCCATTAATTCTTGAAGTCTCTGGTCTCTCGGGAACCAGTTAGCCATCTTGTGAACTACATACTAATGTCTGAGAGGCTGGGGAGATGACTCACAAAGAAAAATCTCACTCAGTGGAATCGATGGCTGGTAGTCTTCAAAGAAAGATAATGTAATATGAACTAAAGTTTTTCAAAAGACTTGTTTTCCATTTCTTAGCAGCATTAAAAGCAAACCCATCTATTGGCTGCTGTTGGTTGTGTTGCTGTTTGTTGAACGTTAAATCAAATRTATGTTGTTCAAGATTCTCATTCGTGCCTTTTTAATTACATATTTTATCTTTTTATTCCTTTTTGTGATGAAATAAATTGTCAATCCCTTCTGGTTCAAGATAATATTCATATAATCAGCAATTGGTTGCTGTAAAGAGTTTTCATTGAAGGCAATGCACAAATACCCACAATTCATCACTCTACAATGGCAACACAGTACATGGAATTATGGATTTTAAGTTAGTGTATGTAGTTTAGACTCCAAAAATAGTAAATATTACCAATTAAGCCTGACCAGTTAGTAAAGTTTTTTTATCTGTCCGTTTTCTTCCTCTTATCCGGGGTCGGGTCTCGGGGGCAGCAGCCTAAGCAGAGAGACCCAGACTTCCCTCTCCCCAGCCACTTGAGCCAGCTCGTCCGGGGGAATCCCAAGGTGTTCCCAGGCCAGCTGAGAAACACAGTCCCTCCAGCGTGTCCCGGGTCTTCCTCTGGGCCTCTTCCCAGTGGGACGTGCCCGGAACACCTCACCAGGGAGTCATCCAGGAAGCATCCTAACCAGATGCCCGAGCCACCTCATCTGGCTCTTCTCGACGTGGAGGAGCAGCGGCTCTACTCTGAGTCCCTCCTGGATGACTGAGCTTCTCACCCTATCTCTAAGGGAGAGACACCCTGCAGAGGAAACTCCTTTCATCCGCTTGCATCTGTGATCTYGTTCTTTCRGTCACTACCYATTGTTTTTTATATGTAAAATAAAGATTATGGATGCTCACAATATCACCTTATCCAGRAGCTGAGAGATTATTAAATAAAAGGTGCATGTTTGAAAGAGGCAGCCTCAGACAACATGCACTCTTAGATTCATAACAGGATATTTAAAATAGTAATTTGGCTAAACAAAGTTTTTGGATTTTATAAGGTCTTTCAAACAGCTGGAGAAAGACTGAGCAGGCAGGGAAACATTTATATCAATTTAAAAAATCTGAGTATGCATAATGCTTGTTTACTGTGTTCGGCCTCTTCCTGACAGTCACTTGTTTTCACAGCTGATCAGTTTTTTACATAGACAGTTSTCCCTGACAGTAAAAATCCCTTTACACTGTAGCAGTCTAAAATTATACTTCCACGTAATCTAACTTACTCCATGCTTCTCTTAAACATTAGACATTACAATTGTCTTTAAAGGAGACATTTCATCAACAAYGCACATTCCTCTTTCACCCCTTTCCTGAGGCGTGTCTCAGATCAACTCGTTTTGAGGCTGTCTCTTTAAATCCAAACAAAGTGCTTCCCACCCTGCCCTTCTCAAGCTTCCAGACAGGTCCATTCYAGTTTGATAGAGGGGTTCATGACTATAGTAGCGGCACAGCAATGTTTTATTTGCAAGATGTCAACAAGGGAAGACTTCTCCATCCAGCCTTACTTGTTGGAGTCAGAGTCTGACCCAGAGTCAGGGAGAATGAAGAAGAAGAAAYTGTAGTTGGTAAGTCCAGACCTTATTTGGCACTTCTGTTGCAAATTTAACGTAATAGTTCAGAAAAYTGAGCTGGTTGAAAAAAATGCCCCAAACAGAAAACAAAAAGATCCACTTTTCTGCATTTCTACAGACTCCATAACACAACAATAAAAAGTGGATTTTGCATRATATGTTCTCTATAATCCATTTGAAACTTCCTTGTTAAGAAGWCCTTAAAGACAAAATGCCAAACCAACTCACTCTGCATGTGTCATCCAGAAAAAACTGGTAAAATATAAAAACAATCTGAAACATGGACCAAATWATAACACATGCCTATTTAGTCTGGATGCTTTAAATACCACAGACACTCGGGCACTAATTTGTCAATACACTTCACACACCATCAACCCCGAATGTCAGAGCGAGAGCATCTTCATTTAGACCATCTGGGCGCACAGCTGGATTAATCCTGCCTGTATCTCACATCTCTGTCGACTCCTAACACTCAGTATAGCAGTGTTAGTATCTACTCAGTAACCACACAACCTCTCCTGTGAACAGAGTCTGATAAAAGTGCCTTTTCCCCCCCCCCTCGCTGGACCCTGCCAATGTCTCCTCGTCCAAGCTGGCAAATGTCCGGCTATGGGGTGAGCACAGGAGGCAGCGATGGCTCGCATCCTGACMCAAAAATAACCCGCACAACAGAGATGCTTGTGGGACAGCAAAGAAAAKACATTTTGATTCATTCAATGCCCAAAATATACAATAGTTTTGTTTTCGTTTGCAAGAATCTGTATCACCAAAAGCCATGTTTTCCACTCTGTCCTTGAGTGTTCTGAAAGGTGCTTTTTAAGTCAAATGTATTATTATTGCAACAAACATAACAGAGCTCGACTTTGGAGAATAAAAAGAAAACGAGTCACTGACCTCCAAGCTGTATTCCTCCACGGTCCTCCTGAGAGGGTCCACAATCTGCCAGCAGATGAGAATGCACAAGTCGATAAGCAGCATCCCTCCAACGATTATCAACAGCTTCTGGTCCTTTATGATCTAGAGACGATAAGACATTTTTTATTATGCTGGAAGAAAAAATTAGTGACAGGTTTCAGGTTCAACCCAAAACCACTGCTGTTTTTATTTAAACTGTTCAAAGATACGCCCATTTTACTGCAGTCTTATTAAGACAGGATCAAATATCTGAGCTGTTTTTGACTATGTTCTGTTTCTGTGTGGTACAATAATCCTAAAAAAGACCGATTGAAAGCCAATGGTGTCAGCCACTAAAWCTCTTCTTCTGTAGTCTGAACTTTGGAGGGATGAAAGCCACGACCTGCTTGTGATCTGCATTTAGAACCACGTTTGACTGGGAGGAAGCTCGGATCAAAACAAAGGTCAGGGAACACAGACCAGGCTCTGTTTCATACAGCCCAGATGTACCTCACACAGGTGTTCTGTTCCACCGGTGGGCTCACGACTGAAGGGCTGTTTGTGATCTGCTGTCTTTTGATGATGATAGCATTGAGCGAGCATACAAACCCAACAGGACAAAGAATGTGCAAAACAAAACTGTATAAAGACAGTTTAATGGGATGCTGTGATTTATGGGGCGGRGCTTCGAGTCACCAACTTAAAGATCTCACCAAGTATGTCAATCAAGAAAATATGTGCAAAAATGGTGCAGTTATGTGGGCCACAGACAGAGGTTTAAAAAAAAAACAAAATGCCACCAGACACCAAAAAGAGCAAGAGCTAAAAAAAAAACATTTTTAAAATCCAAAAAAAACCTCCATAATTCCAAAGAGTCAACACTTTTAAGTGATATTTCTGAGAATTAAAAAAGAGCTCTTCACTAACCATCTGCTAAACTGTGAAATGTTGTGCTGCCAACTGAATCGGTTTGACAAAATACATATGTAATTACTCTAAATTGCCCRAAAGCATTAACAGTTTTCTTCTCCCCCTGTTTTAGTGGCATTCTGACACAGTGTTTGTGCTGCACAATTTTTTTTGCTTTCCCTCTTATCGAATTGTCAAAGAAAGTCAAAGAGATTGAAAACAGAATGAGAAAATGATGTGTGATAATAATGTAAACTTTGGTTGATTATTAAAAGAAAACAGATTCTGTCCATTGATCTTATTCTTTGACACTTTTTCCACAGCTTCCCTTTAATTTCAACCATTTTCAAGTATTTTTCTTTTATGTCTGCTTTTGTGCCTGGTTTTGTGACCCTTTGTTTCCATTTACCTTATATTTTTTGATGAATGTTGCTATATTTTTAATGCAACATGATGTGCAGCTGCTCTGCAGTGTGCACAAACATGTAGTTATGTGTCTTTGGTGTGTTTGCTTGGAAAAACAGGGAGGCCCTTTCACCCTTTTTGACACTTGAGCTTTTCAAGAACTAAAGCAGCGTCGGATGCWGGACTCCTTATCGATTTCGCCCTTTGATTCACAATCTCTACCCTCCCAGTGTACAGGAAAAAAGGGGCGGGAGGGTGTGCGTGTGTGAAAAGGTGCGAGTGATTCAGTTCCAGCTCCGTGGTTTGAAGGAAAGATGGCTAACACTTGTGTCTGTCCCTCCCCTGACAGCAGTTGGCAGACATTTCAGGGCACCAACAGCAACTATCAGTCTGCTGAAGCCAAAGCACCTGCACTCAATCAGTGTGGGTGGTGTGTGTGTGCGTGTGTGTGTGTGTGTGTGTGTGTGTGTGTGTGTGTGTGTGTACTGCACACAGACCCCGGCCCTGAGCCAACAGAGCATACGTCTTGAGGGTTAAAGGCTGAAGTGTGCAGCGGGGGTGAATTCTGCCTCCGAGGAAACATTTGTTTTGTCTTCCTCCACGACGGGGACGAGGGTGTGAGGAGGAGAAGTGAGCTGAAATAATTGGCTATGAAATGTCAGAGCAATACTGAGCTCAGAGAAGCAAAACTGCTTTCTTTCATAAAACCAGTCGGGGCGGGGGAGACAACAAATTAACAAAATATAAAAGGTCARGTTCAGTGCAGTTTTAAACTTGCTTCGGAAACTTTAGCTAAAATGGACCCCCGGTCGCTGCTCTTTGTTTTTTAACCTCTCCTAATGTATCGTGTCTCTTTTCCAGCTTTTCCTTTTCTTTCYACAGTATACAGCCTACTTTCTTTGCCATTGAGGCCACACTGTCCCTTTCTCTGCCCTGCTTCGCCTGCCTCCTTCTGTCACATCCCTTCTGCCACCATTTTCCTACATCCTTCCAACCTCTTCTTCAACCATCCCTCTTCTTTTTTTGTTTTCGTTCTGCTCATTGCCAGACCGCCCACCACTTCCTTTAATAATGAAGGAGGATGAATGAAAAGAGAGAAAAAGAAAGTTCAAAGTCTCTAAATATATTTTGAAAAGACCATTTTGAAACACAGGGAGCACAACTTCTTATAACTGGGCCAGAGTAACAGACTGTGTCCATTGATTAAAAAAAAGTTTTTTAATGCTATTTTTGAAATTGTTACAAAATGTGAGTCATAGACACAATCACCAGTTTTGCAGTTTCATCATCCGATACACAAAACTGCTAGGTCCTATCCCGTGGTTGTAAATGGTCTGATGGGAAATAAATTGTTCAAAATAACATTTGATCCTAAAAAACTTCAGCCAGACAATGTTTGCATGTTGCCAAACTGGCCATAAATCCACAAGCTAAAATGCAAATATTTTAGAGGAATGGTAAATAGTGACGTAAAAGTGAGAAAGATGCTTTAAAGATACTGCAGTTTCAAAAATAATAATGTGAATAAAAGCCCTAAAACGAAAAAKATTTAAAATGTGGCTTGTTACAATATGAACCATTTAGAAAAAATGCTCCATGCTGCAGAAAATTTAGACCATTTTAAACCAGCAGGACTACTAAAAACTATTATTTCTCTTTAGTCTGTGGGCTCTGTCATTTTGTGGACAAACATAACTTAATTTTAAATCCTCATTTAACAGTTTTAAGTAGTTAAGCACAAAATAAGAATAAATGAATGCACATATTAAAGCAATACGAAAAGGCAAGAGGTAGTTTGGAAATAAAAAAACTTTTAAAATGGAAAATTTAAATAAAATCGTTTAATATTTATCTAATAATAAGTGATGTCTGTATGTTTATTTATTACCTTTTTCTTCATCTTCACATTTTTGAAGATGGCGTGCACCCTCCACGTCTTGGCGAACATGGCGCCGAACGCCGTCGTGTATCCAACAATGAGGATCCACGTCCGGACCTGTCAGAGCAACGACACACAGCCACGTCGTGTCATAAAGCGCCAATCAAGGCTCAGAGCCGACACCTGMTCTGACGGCAATCTGCAAGAGGAATTTGTCCAAAACAGCGTTACGAGGCGTTCTAAAAATAAGACGCTGTCAGATTTTCTTTTTTTGTTTCCAAGAGATCTGGAGGAAGAAAATCACAGACAAYGAGTTTCATCAGACTTCTGAAAGCAGATGGTTTAAAAAAGAAGAAGAAAGGAAAAACAGCTAAATGGGAATGTCCTTTTGTTGCACAATACACTGAGATAATGTATCCAAAGAGTTGAAAACATTTTCTGTATTTGAGAGAATCCCAGTGTTAATATAAAGGTGACGAGCTGTGTGCGTCACTGTAYTGAAAACACATAAATATTTAACTCGTTTGCATTTTTTACACTCGATGCTCAAACATGAGGCCAAAAAAACCAGGCAGAGCGTTGGTGACAAAAAAACAGAAACAACAACAACAACACAATCCCTGCCCCAGCAGAGCAGCTCATTAATCAGCAGGACATCCATCAACCTCTGTGCTCCTGAGCTGTAGAACTTCATCTGAAGTGACAAGCTCTGTTTTGACTCGGCAGCAGCGTTTCATCCAGGTGACGACAGTTCAAGACGTGCCCTGCTTGACATTACCTGTGTGTGTGTGTCTTTGTATCGGGAACAATATCATCCCAGTGGAAACCAGTTATCACTGTAATCAAAACTCTTTAATTAATCTGGTGTCTACATAGTCACACATTAATGCTACCTGGGGGGGAACACTTAATGTGCTCTGTGCCTGTTAGAGACCTGCGGAGATATTCAGTCAGTTTTCTCAAACATGTTTTGTCTTTTAGTCGCTTCGTATTTCAGAACATTCAGATTAACAAACGGAAAACACCGACTAGAATGGCTGGAGGAAATCAACCAAAGAAGGAATAATAACACAACCAGTTTGATTCTTTAAAAAAAAACCCACAGGTTATGATCAAACATCAATTTTCATCATAGTTTTTGATTATTAGTTATAGTTAAAAGGACTTACAGTGCAAAGGGTCTCGAACTCTTTGTCAGAAACAAAACCTCCGTCCAGACCAAACAGGAAGATGGACGCGTAGGACAGCATCCCTCCTAAGATGATCAAGTTGTTCATGTAGGGACTGGACATCTTGATCAGTCTGAAGGACAAAAGATTAAACATGTATACATTGCATCTTTMCTGTTTTTTTTAATTAAGGTTGTAWTTGTCTGCTGTCATATTTTGACCTGTGGTTTCGATTCTTGATGTTGAAGAAGAGGAAAGCKCCGGCCATGAGCATGCCCAGTATGGTGATGGTGGACAGGATGCTGTAGAGCGGCACGTTGATGTGGCGCCGCTGATGKCGTACAAACGTGCGATCCTTTGGAGGCTCCACACCTATTAAAGACAAGAACAAAGACAATAAAATTATTATGATTCTTTCCAAACTTGAACATTTCCACTTTCACTGCTGCGGTTTTTTCCATTTATTTTCGACTTTTCAACTTTTCCTTTTTAATTTTCCTCTTCCTCATTAATAAAATGTTAATACTCAACTTTTTTCGTATGTGAATTTGTTTTTTTAATTAAAAATTACTTATGAATTGTTAAATGAATTTAAATATGTATATTCATRAATTTACACTTTTCTTTTGTTTGTTTTATGTCAGTTTTTTTTAATAAAGAGCAGGCGCAGCAAAAAAAGTTATCCTTTTCACTTTATTATGTTTTTTTTTCCTTTTCACCATCACCTGACATCACCATCTCCCCTTTTTGTGGTCAGGGATGTGGAAGCAAGTTTTCATTCCTTGATCTTCTGTATGTGGGACAGAGGAGAGAAGATGGAGCAGGAGCGRTGAGGGAGGAGAACAGCCAGAAGGATGAAATAAATCCCAAAGTGTGTCAGCACAGGCAAACACGAGAACAGAGGGAAAATAGACCAGTAAATTATTTAGCCAAGAGAGGCCAGTTCAGAGTGGAAAATTGTGGTCCTTCAGTCAGCCCCAAAGAGATTTGGACACTGATGTTTATAGATTTTAGCTCCAGAAGATACAGGCTGAAGGCGGTCGGTGCCTGCAGAACATTCATAGCGAAKGATTGTGATTGGTTGAGCACGTGCCTCATTTACATGAAAACATATTGCCACCTTTCATGTCAGAGTTTTACCCTACTCACAATAAATGTGTCTAGATTAAAACATCACCCCTGCTGACTGATGAGTGTTTATCTTTTTGCAGCGAACAGTTTGAAACAAAAAGCTGCAGCTTAGAAGAAAACCTCTGCATTTTTCTCTTATCTAAAAGAAGGGTCTGAACCCAAATGTCTCTTTGTGCTTTTGAATAAATCCTGACTTTTCATACCTTGGAACTTGATTGTGTTGTTGAGGTCCAGCACATCCGCAATGGCATTATACTCGCCCACTTTCAATTCTTGACCATCTGTAAAAACAAATATTACACTTTTAAACTAAAAGTACCAAAATAGTTTATGGTAATAATTTAAAGGCCACCAAAAGCACTCTTATAGAAAGTTTAGAAAGTTATATTTAGAAAGTTATCTTATAGAAAGTTTAGGCTTAAATGCCATTTTTATACCTAAAAATAATCTATTTAATTATATAAAATATAATAGAGTCGTCAATCTTTGAAATGTCAACACTAAACCGACATGTTGATGTCTAAAATGTTACTCATTAAAACAATATTTTAATGTTAAAGTCAACATAGAGTTGGTTCGTTTTACTTTTTTACATTCTAATAAAACAAAAAGACCTACATTAACCTTATCCAAAACTAATGTTCTTTCCCAAATAAATAGCAAAAACACATCAACTCCATCCTGTATGAGTGCCCACCTCCCTGAAGTCTGTCTGAAACTGATCAAACACGACTCTGAGGAACAGCTATAACTCTCCACGGTGTCGTTTCAGAAGAACAGTGACCTTGTCAGACAAACCTGGTCATTCTCCCCTAAAGATTACTTACATGGAGTTTACAACAGCTATAAAAAAGAGGACACAGACAGAGAAAACAGGATATATATTTTTTGCTTTCACTTTTTATAAACTTTGTATTCCATCTGTGGTTTCTTCTGGTGCACAAAGTCCAACAGTGTCTTTGATGACAAAATAAGACATCAGCTGTTTACATTAAAATCTGAATATAACCATTATTTTTTTAATGAAAGACATTCATCAGTTATTTAAGTGTTTTTCAAATTATGCTGCATTTTTTTTCCAAGTCATGAAATTAGCAGAATTGGAGCAAAAACGGTTAGAAACAGAAATGAAGTTTCCTTTTCTAAGGTGTTATAAGGCAGTGGTTCCCAAACTTTTTATCTTCTGACCCACAAACTATCCAGGGCAAAAACTTGTAACCCCAAATATTACTGGTCTGAGTACACAAACTTTGTTAATAACCCTAAAAACACAGGCTTTTTGACAATCTAAACAGTTTGTACACAAATATAAATACTTATCTATACTTATTTTGTGTTTTTGTAATAATTATAGGGAAAATATTACATCAGCAATTATTTTATTATCCTTCAAATTGATTTCTGGAGATTATCCAAGGTGCTTCATGACCCATAATTGGGTCCCAAGCCCAACTTTGGGAACCAAAGTGCAGTGGTTCCCAAACTTTTCAGCTTTTGACCCACAAAATAACAGTAGCAGAGACATGTACCCAACTATTTTTGGATGATAAACATTTGTATCAGGTCAACAAAACATGGGCATAGTAACAATATTTTTATACTACATTTATCCATTTTAAATATACTAACCTCACTCCTTTGTAACAACTAAGGCAAAAATGTAATTAATTCAGAAAATCTTTTCAGGACCCCACCTTGATGTTTCGGGACCCTGCTTTGGGTCCCGACCCCAACTTTGGGAAACAGGTGTTTTGAGGTTTTATCTAATAAGAGATTTCCTAAAATTGACTATGTAAAGACCAGAAAATGGATTTCTCTTTTTTTTCTTATTTAAAAACACTTAAGAACGAACCAGTCATGACAAAAACTCTGCAGCAGAGACAAATTATGAGGTCTGTTCAAGTCAGCTTGAGTCGTTTCAGGAATCATTCCTAAAGTTTCTCTGAGACTGTTTCAGCCCACAGATTTTAATCCAACTGCAATCCCTGGGTGGGATTTAAAGCAGGCAGCAGCTGCAAAACCTCAGGATATGAAGGATGCAAATTGTTCCAAAAAAAAAAAAAAAAGAAAAGTAAATTTTCAAGTGAAAGGATGGAAACATACATCTCCAACAAAGAACAAGTTTAAATTCAAATCTCCCATTAACATAAATCTGTTTTTACATCAACTATGACTCAGTTCATAAACAGATTATTTAATATCAAAGTTGCTTTTCACAACATGACTTGAAATGTTTGAAAAAAATAAAAACTTTGTTTTGTCAGAAGAAATCATTCTGCTTAAAAAGACTGAAACGTCAGAGTATCCACTGCTCGTCCCTTTTTTTACAAGAAATCTCATCATCTATTAATAATCAGCATTACTCAGTTTAATCCATTTTTGTGGCAGCATCTGTAACTCTGATCAGTGTAATTGTGAGATGTTTATCTTTGAGGTACACAYTAGTTTATCTTTGATCAGTTTTGTGCCACGTCGGCCTCGGAAACTTCAACATGAAAAATCCTTTAGAAATCCAKCCTTTAAAGTTTGATATTCTTCTCAGCTGTTTAGGTTGAACCCTCTGTGAGAGGACTGCTGCATGGAGGTAGACTGAAAACAGCRATGAATTGCCTTTTAACATTCTGGTAGAAGAGGATGGAAAAGCTGGAAATGAATTTCTACAGGGGGCCGTACATGGTAAATCTTTGATCTAAAACTGTTACAGCATCACCTAAAAGATCATTTATGATTTCACTTCTTTTCACAGAATGATGGAGGCTGTGCTTCCTTATCCAGCACACCTTGTGTGTTGATTTCTAATCTGAAAATCAAGACCTTCGACACAGAGCTATCTGTCACCCCCAGGAGGGGCAAGAGGAAATAAGAGCCATCCATGCGCTGACAGGTTAAAGAGGAAGGGTCCGAGGTTGTGGGGTTGTGTTGCGGACCGTTGCCTTTTTGAAATATTCAAGCAGGAGCTGCAGCTCATCTGCTYTCCAATCAGCTCAGGCTCTGGTCCGCGGTGTCAAAATGGTGACCAGCTCTCAGTCGGGTGGGAAAGAAGGGATGGAGGAGATAAAAGAAGAGATGCCGATAAAAGGAGGATTTGATGTAAAACAGTGAACACTGGAATTTAAAACGTAGCTGGATTTTGAGTTTGGAAACGATAAGGTAGAAAGTAAAAGAAAATTTTAAAACAGCCTTTAAATACTGTAGGCCTTTATGTGGCTTTAGCAAATAGTCTTTTTTAAATAAAAAGTTAACTGCTGCAGATTCAACAGATCTGAATAAAACATGTTGCAACAGGTTTTGCACAGATCATTGATGGATCAATATCTTGTATGGGGCTGTAAAAACTGATGGGTGCAAATTAGGGTTGGGAGATAAAACAATGATGATATATATCCTGACAGACATGTGATCAGTATCAACACAAAATACGTCTGATAGAATGTTGTCAATTTCAATGAACTCAGATCCAGAACCGCACAGCCTTCTGGGGGATGTAGGCAGAGGAAAGGCTTTTGCCACTCGATCTCTCACGGCCCAGGCAAGGTTGGTAGCCTCAGCTCACCCACTCAGTCAGCCTTTTTTCTCTTGGTCCTTATTTTAAATCGGTAAAACAATCAACAATTATCATTTACAGACAAATGCCCTGATCTATTTTTCAGCCATATCGCCCAGCCCTRGTACAAATATTTAAAATGCATGCATACTGTATGCAGTGTTTTTACCTTCAGAAGCTGCATATTTAGTTAAATCAGATCCACCTTTAACCAGTTTATTTGTCAAATGATCCAAACCTGTTATAAGAGTTACAAACTCCAGAACAACACCAGTTTGTCATCTATAAGTAGTCGGGTCGACCACCAAGAAAGAAACATGAAGACAAGAAAGTCTCCACACAGTACAGATCAGGGTTGGGTTTAAAGAACATCTGAACATCTAATCTAACCCAGTCRAAGCCCAGACCTCAGTCCAATCGAGCATCTCTGGTGTGATTTAGAAATCTTCCGATTCAAGCAGCACACATCCAATCTGAACGAACTGGAGCAGTTTGATCCTGAGGAATAGAATTTGCCCGGCTCATGGAGACGAACCCGAAGAGACTCGGCGCTTTAACTGCAGTGAAAGGTATTGAGTTTTAGAGGTTGAATGAATTTTTAATCAAATTATAAATCCATTTAAATTCCAGGTTGTGAGGCAACACAATAAAAAGAATCCCAAGATGGATGAATACTCTTGCAACCTACTGTACTAGTTCTGCTTTCACAGAGAAAATGTGTGTGTGTGTGTGTGTGTGTGTGTGTGTGTGTGTGTGTGTGTGT